AAGAAGGACAAGCTTGCGCCCATCAAGTTCCGTATGCTTATCTCAAAAGACGAACGATGGGCCAACAATCCTGAAAAGGAATCAAAAGATAAAGCGCGCCTTCGAGAGCTCGGCCTCTTCATCACAGATGACTTCAAGAAGGTGGATATGGTTTGCGCGCCACAACCCGTTCGGACGAAGAAGTTCATCGCAGCACTAGCCTGCGCGCCTACCCTCGTGTCAACCACTTACCTCGACTTCGCCCTCAAGAACAACAAGCTTCCACCGGCAGAGAAACACCTCCTCCAAGCTAGAGACTTTGAAGAGGCCAACAACTTCCGACTATCCGAAGCACTCGAGCGAGCCAAGCAGAATAAACACCGCCTACTCAAGGACTGGACCATATTCTGTACAGAGAAGGTTGGCGGCGGCTTCGAAACATACAAAGACATTGTGGAAGTCAATGGCGGCAAGTGTGTGCTATGGAAGGGTCGCCCTACTACGGTATCCGCATCAAAGCGCAAACTAAACGCCTCCGATGAAGTTAGCCAGAACCAAGTCGAAGATGAAGGAGACGTACTATATCTTATTTCCGACGCAGATAAGAAGGAGTTTACCAACTGGACCAAGTTCCGTGAATTGGCTAAGAGGGAGAACATGGTTCCCCGTATCGTCAAGACGGAGTGGCTGCTTTCTGTAGCGATGGCGCAGTATGTCCATTGGGATCCGGAGTGGGAACTGAGTGAGGAGGTTGTTAATGCTGGGAATAAATAGTAGTTGCATGTTTGGTATCTCTTACGGCTGATGACGGGTCAGAGCGACAGGCGTTCAGGTACTGAGATCGGAGTTTCACCACTGCGTACAGACGTCGCTTTGAGTGATCTTGATATAAGGAGCATTTGTCTGATAAACTTTTGAGCGAGTTTACGCATTGTTTCGCATGGCATTGTTAGCGACAGGATGAGGACGGTAGCATGTACATTGGCTTCTGTGACCCTCAATATTACAGAGGCTCCATGTTCATTCGTTTGTTACATACACGCATCTCAGCTTCCCGATCTTCTTCGCCACTGTGATCTAATATGTGGCTGCGCATCCTCTTCTTGCTTCATGTCATACATTCTCGTTATAGTCAACACATCCCTTGTGGCGATCCTACATAAACCGAGATTGTAGTCGTGCGTACGGCACGGTCGGGCCATGCAAGAGGTCTCTGTGCCACAGTGATCCTTGGTGAACCGGGCCGCGATTCTGCGTTTAGGTTGTGGAGCGAGTAGTGGGATCTTACCTGGAAGATAGCTGCTGCCTTTGCTTCATGTGAAGAGAGGGCGATCGAGAATGGTTGGATTTGCGTCAGCTTGGAATGTAAATCGGAAGAAGGATGGTTCATTGTAAACGCAGAAATTATTCGCTGTTTTCCACTTTCACGACCAGAGCTTTAGTGCTCCAGAACACAACTAACAGCAACAATTTAATGTTACACCCAGCATAGGCCCATCGCGTGTGATGTCATTGAATCTAATGCATCTCGTTCGATAATTGAGACCGTAAGCTTCTATTGGGGCTGGAGATCGATGCACATCGCTAGTGCTCACTCCGAGTGAGCCGAGGAGCCAACACATTCAGCGGATACCAGGCAGCTGGGAAAAAAGTCTGGGGGCGGAAGCAGTGTAAGCCAGACCCATCACACTCAGCGAATCGACTGCTGCTTAGAAGTCTCGCATGATACGGAAGTGGACAATGGACTGGGCAAAGGGGCGGGATCTTCGAACTTGTCTAATTGAAGTATATTGGCTTTTCGCAACAGTAGCGGCGAAGGTTGTTTTAAGCTCGACTGCACGGTATGACAATTGCAGGAGCGCGAATGGGGTATATAGTGATGCTTATAAGAAGTATCACGGGATGGTGAGAAACTGGAATGCAAGTAAAAAGAAGAAGAAGAAAAAAGTGGAACCATCAGCTCGTCTGAAACCCATAGCCTGATATCTTTTGCCCACAACCAACCATGTCTCTAGTCTGACAATGTGTGAACGATCTTCGGAATTGGCGGCATCGCGATATTTGTAGGCGTCGACTCGTAGTATCGTGCCCGTTGGCTTGCCGTGCTTATGCTGCGTGCGCGTCCCGATGGACGTACACCCAAATCGCCCCCATCGCCACTCGATGATGTCGGACTCAGCACAGGACTCGGCATAGGGCTGAGCACCATAGTACTGAGGGTTGCATGGCTTTGTCGGCTAACAGAACTCACACCCGTACCAGAGCTCTCCGTGTTGTCACCGATCGGGTCTCTGACCTCCTCCGCTGGCGTGACTTGCAGCGGTACGAGGTTCATAGTCTCTGTGCTTGACCTCTTGTTGCGCGCTTCTGTTTCCGAGTCGACGTATAGTGTAACGCTGCTCGCTCGGACACGACTGAACATGCTTGTCTTGTCCTCGTTCGCCAAGAGGCCTGCTGTGTCTGATTTGCGGTTGTCGAGCTTCTTCTTTTCGTTTCTTCGGTGGAGCCAAAAGACAAGTGATGCAAGGCAGATGGCTAGGAAGATAAGAGCGAAGACGGCGGTGAGGGCGATGTTGGCTTTCGTCCAATACCCTGAATCAGGCTTTGGATTCTGGTCTGTCTCTGCGACGAGATTGTTGTCCACCGGTATAGGAGCCATGATGATGTATATTGGTGTAAGAGCTATCCAGGTACTTGTAATGCTGGTGATGGGAGGTTGAGTGGCGGTGTGACAAGGATAAGACAGTTGCTACGCCTCAGCAATGTGTTGCTCTAACGTTACAAGAGTGTTGATATGGACTTGATTAAGGAATCCCTTCTGTACTGTGAACTGATACCGGGGACCAGGCAGACATATGTCTGCGTAAAATGAAACCTACTACGCATGGACATGTTCTGAACCTGCATCCATGGCGCTGGATCGGTGAGAGGGCGTCCAATATGCAGCTCGTAAGTGGAAAGAGATGCTCAGCCTCAACACGTTGTGGGGAAATAGGCCAACAACTTGGAGAGAGTCACTGCGCCCCTGTCAGCTTGGCAAAAGAAGAGACGCCTGACGAGTTGCGAGCGTAGAAAACTATTGTCAAAGCTTGGACTACCGCGTCTAACGGAGAAGTAGGAAAGAGCTACGTAGCACACGGTGGTGGCACAGGCTAGTAGAAGATGGTGCCAGGCATTCATATCGGAGCCCATTCGTTGCCATTTCAGTTGAGAAGAGTTCTCTATCGCGTGTGAGCCACATCTGGACAGTGGTGCCCTTTTCGTCACGCAGCTGAAGCTATGCGTTCAGCTCGTGGAAAAGCAGACATTGGGTGGCTGCTCTCGCGAACGGCTCCCCAACTCAACCCTCCACTACACAGTATCAACTTGAAATCGCCAGCCTAGCACGAGAAACTGTAAAGACACGGTGATGTGCCAGAGGATCGTGCTGTAGGATCAACGTTTCGGGATTTAGGCAAGCACAGCCACCTGCGCTAAAAGAAATGAGCAGCTACAGTCACGAATCGACACAAGGCTGAGCGCCTTACAATTCTCTACGTGTCTGCCTGAGCCAAGCTCAAGTAGGATTGGACGGCGACTTGAGGCAAATTGTGGGGTGAGAATAGGCGAACTGGTCGTGGTAAAGGAAAGCCATGATGCGAAGTGCTAGCTTCCGCTGCGGTGCGTTGTTGTAAAGATATCGGGTGGCAGGTGCTGGTTACTGGACGCCATCATAAAGTATTGCGGCGCCTCTGCGGCGACCATGCGGCGTAGTGGAGCAAGATCCTAATCTTATGCCTGTGTTGGCTGGTGAGTGAAAGCTCACCACCAACCAACGAGGGTGGTGTTGAGGACGGCTGGCCACTGCTGGCCTAACAGCGGGACGATGTTGGCCCCCAACTAGCGTCTCGCTTAGGTTCTATGTGCTATTTTGGGATCACTTCTAGATGTCACGCCTTTACGGCCAAATCTCGCCTGTTCTTCTGCACCAGACTGTTCATGAAAAGTATGTGGAAAACTTGGATTGACCCAAGGCTGACTTCGTTGCCGTCACGCATGAGGACCACCCCGAAAGAGAATGGGACGGCATCAAGCCAACTCACGTATTCTTAAAGGCTTGATCTACCAGTCTTATCGTAAACATCGGGCATGTCGATACTTCATGAAATCAGTACTCTAAAGGCCCCTCACCACTATAGTTGTCAATTGCAGCTTATCTGTTGCGAACGATCTCTTGTAGGATGGGTGAATTTCTGTTATCTTTCCACGTTCTCTACCTAGGTATCCATCGATCAATTCGTTCACTGCAGAGACAACGATCAAACTACTGTACGACTAATCCAAAGTCAACTTTCACTTCATTGAAACTGTGGAACTTGATCCATTTAGGACAAGCACGTCGCATCTCTGTCAGGAAGAACTGCCAGAGCTGTGTCTTTTCGTACTCTTCTAAATCCTCGGTACCGTCGTCTTGTTTGCAGATGGGAAACCGTCCACACTACTCAGGTAGGTAGCAAATGACGCTCAATGTTGTGTTCCAAACACCAGTCAAGTCGCCGTTTTTGTCCACCAGAATCCTGTTCGTGTCAAGGTCGTTATGATGAAGTGCGTAGATCTCGGCTTCTCCGGTGGGGAAAACCCTTGGAAGGAGATTAAAAAGTCGCTACACTCGGCGCTTGGCTTCTTAAAGATGTTCGCAGTTGGAGTCATAGTCTTCCTCGTCAGTTTCCTCATCTTTCAGGCCGTGAAGTTGTAATTGTAGTTGTGCGGCAAGCCTGTTCCGACTATGCTTGTACGGACCTCGTGGAACATCCTAGTCAAAGTGCTTTCCCAGGAGAGTGGCATCGAAACTATCTTAGCTAGGTAGAATCGCGCAATTCGAGTTGAATGCTCAGCTCCAAGCAGGGTAACTTCTGGTATATCGGAGGTGGACAGCTCCCGAGTTTCTCTGTAGAGTACAGACTACCTATTCGCTTGAATCGTTTTTGGAACAACTGCGCATGATCGGAAACTATCTTACGCACCAGCAGTTCCTTTCTCAGTCAGATAGTGCTGCTCCATTGATCACGTAGCTTGCGACCAGGCACGCGTGACATCATCCCCTCAAATCCGAGCTTGTTGGCATCAGTAGCCTGGTAACGAATGACTTCAGGTACTGGAATGTCGGTGTGATGGCGAATGTACTCGATAGTCGCGACCTCACTCATGGACTTGAAAGGCGCTTTGTGCTAGGTATTTGACAATGCATAGCTCCGGATCCTCGATCCTTAACTCGTGCTGTATAAGAGTTTTGACATGCTCAGTGGCGGGTTCGGTTGTCTATTTGGGTTGCAGTGCTCTGAACGGATGTTCTTCCCAGAGGTATCCTGGACTACTTCTCGTATGTGCTTGATAACTTTCGTGTGTCTACCTTTATACCTCATCTCCTGCATGTTCAAACAAACTCACAGCATGTCACTCTTATGGTTCAGTGCGTGAAAGCAATAATATTCTACTATCGCAAGTGACACTATGGCCTTACGCAAGTAATTCGGGTTCATCTATCAAAGCAACACGAGAAAAGGAAACGACCATGGGTCGTACTGATGATCATAAGCGCCGTTCCATGCAAGATTGACACAAGATTTTGAGAAACAAGGAAACAGATTCCCGAGGGACCCAATGCCATTCCACCCATCTTCATTCACCTTTTTTTTTTAATCCAAAGAGAAATTCTCCCTCTTCCAGGTCTCGCGGTACACGGCAATAGTACTGGCAGCGTCCTTACAGCGCTCCGGTGCACGTGCCGGAAGGTCAATGATAGCGCGACGAAGTACGCCACGCGCAGGTACGCCGTAGAACTGGATAAACTTCTTGTGGTAGTCGCGGATCAGGCCGCTGAGAATGGCAAAGTGTCCAGGCCAAAGTTGCTCGGTGGGTGTGTTGCATATCGAGGAGATGGCGCGCCAGTATTCCGAGATGGCAATCGCAGGCGCCTTGGCAGCGAACGAGCGAAGAGACATTGAAGCAAAGCCCGCTCCAATGCCGCGCATGCGCTGTGAGTACGACTCTGGGGTTGAGTCCTCCTGCCAGCCTAGGCGCAGCCGACCTTCCTTAGTGTCCATAGTACCTCGGATGCCAAACAATGGGGGGCACGCCTTGTGGAGCTTGGCCAGTGCAATGTCAATGAGGGGAAGACCCTGCCACTGGTACTTCTGGTCACCGAACAAACTGGCTGCAATCAAGCCAATCTCTTGGATGATGCGTCCGTCAGTGTTGGCAGCCTCCTTCTCAAACTGCTTTACCAAGAACTTCTCAAAGCAGATCCAGACGTAGAGAAGGAACGCCGGGTAAGCAGCTTCGTTCTCGTTGGCTAGCTGAGGGATTTGGTGTGAAACGATGTATGGTCGGATGTCAATCATAGGGCCTGGAGTTTGTAGAGCGATGTCGAAGCATTCGGTTCGAAGGCGCTTGATGGCGGCGGCGCTATCCTTTCGCTCCACGTTGATCTGACCAAGTCGAGTACGGAGAGCGCGTCGAGCGTCGCCAACCGGACCCTTCAAGGGCGAAGTCGGTTTCTTGTGTTCCTCCCAGAAAGCATTGCGGAAGGCCTTCATGCGCTGATGGAGTTCGAGGTACTTGGCGTGGATCTGTTCGGCGTTATTGGTGGGTGCTTGTGCGTTCGTGGATGGCTTCGGTGTTGCTGCCACCTGTGTGGGTGCGACGGCGGGTGTAGGTTGTGCAGCGGGCTGCTGCTGTTGTGTTGGTGGGGGGGCTTGCTGTTGAGCCTTCTGTGCAGCAGCCGCAGTGGCCGCAGCCTCGGCAGCCTTCCGGTCAGCGTCCTCCTTTTCTTTCTTCTGCCTCTCAGCTGCGGCTTGTTGATCCTGCTGAGCTTTGATTCGGGCATTAGCCTCTTCAATTCTCTTCCTATCTGCTGCTTCTTGACGGGCGGCTTCTTCCTCGCGTTGTTTGGCTTCCAAGGCCCTTCGCTGAGCCTCGGCTTGCTCGCGGGCCTTCTCCTGCTTCAAGCGCTCAATCTCCCTCTTTTGGCTCTCTTCATGGCGTAGACGCGCCTGCTCTTCTTCCAAGGCTATGCGCTCAATCTCGAGCTTCGCGCTCCTAAACACGCGCTCGTGTTCCTCGGCAGCCCAGGCAAGTTGTTGTGCATGGTGCTTGGCTCGTTCCTCGGCGGCTTTGTCGAGCTTCTCGTTGAACTCTCGGTCTGATATGCTGAGGCGGAGATTGAACTCGAGGGCTAGTTGCTTGCTCGGGCTGTCATAGGGGTCGCGGACAAGGGACTCGCGCTGAGAGCGGTGTATGCTTCTGCGGTTCGGCGATTGGCGTGACGGGGAGGCGTCGGCGAAACTGGAGCTGAAGGAAGTTGCAGTATGCATGCTCGCGGATGACGTGCCCGATCTGGCGGGCATTCTGGCGCCGGGGTCGTGGTTGCGGTTGGGGAGCTTTTGTTGAAAAGGTGGTTGGTGAGAACGCGACCTTCAAAGAGATCTAGTCTAGTCGGAGACTAACGCAAGCTCCGACTCACGTGACGTCGCTCATCCCTGCAGCAGCTTTCACCGCGCTGCAGTGCTAGCGTACCTGGGGAATCGACATCTGAAGAATCGGCCGATGATGGTTTCTTTGTCGAGGCACGCAGCACCCATTGCACGCGGACGTAATTGCACCCGTCACTGTCACCCGCCGGGAGAGTAAGATGAGACTGGAGCTTCAAGGACGCCTGAGTCGCGTCTTGGGCAAACGCACCGTGTTGCGCCTTTCATAAAGTTCACAGGATTCGTCTGTGCCCGAGTTTGGTGGGACTGCCGCCAAGCTGCGATGGCGCTGCGTGCACACCCTGGTGCTCTGGTGCTCTTGTGCCCCCAACATGTCCGTTTCACTGACAGAATGTGACAGCTGGGGAAAGATGTGAAATTCACGTCTTGGGGTTTCAGCGATGGCATTGCGAGGGTCGAGTACGTCTACTACTTGCTATCGTATTGTTGCTGGCTACTGTTGCATGTTGGACATGACAAGCTTCCTGGCCCAAGGCGGTGGATCAATATAATCTCCAGACGCGTAGCTGCATGCCACTGTCATGAACCGAGAGCCCTTGCGCCGCGCTCCCGAGGCACTGCAGCTTGTTGTCGTGATTTAGAAACGGCCGCCGGTTAAGGGTGCGTTGAAACGTGCAGACCCAAACGTGATGCTTCACCTGGGGCCCGCTGAGACGCGCATCAGGACAGCTGCTGGCGGTATATATAGAGCGTCGTCGCCTGCAGCGCCTCAGTCCCCCACGGCCCGGTGCTTCCTTGTCTCTATCTTTAATTTGTTACTGCCATTTGCTCGGCGCGGGAAGCTACATCTGGCTTCGTGAGTGACGTACCGGTGCTTAGACCTCTCCCAGGCTCGCTCGTTTGCGGAACAACAGGCGATCGTTGCCCGAAGTGTCCATCTGGCCAAGTCCCGCCATAGCCATCACCACCTGCATCACGCTGACGGCCCTCTTGCCTGTCCTCTCTTCCTGCATCCCTCCTGCCCGCCCTCCTCGATCGCTCCCTCCTTCGAAGCACTCTCTCCGCCCGCATTTTGGTTGTACTGCCCACAACAGCCCGTTCCAGGGAAACCGCGCTCCTTGATCTGGTCTACCCTCCTTATCACTCCTCCTAGGCCAACTTGACATCTGTCTGCACACGACATCCACCCGCTTCTGACTTGCAGAGCAGCCCGACAATCTTCGTCTGGATCATCGTATAAGAACATATCCTCTTCCTCCCCGAGCACTGCCTAATCCGCACGCTTACCCAACGTGAGTTCTTCCCCACTAGCTAGCTCTCTGGAGCATGTCGGTGCCGACCCTGCAGCTGTCCCCCGTCTTTCACTTGCTTCACTCTCACTCTCTGCATCTCCTCGCTCGCTCTCCTCACTCGCTGCAAACATCACTCGAACTGCGGATGCTAATCCAATCGTCCAGATAACTCTACCTTTTGACCAATTCGTGTCCGACCGTCTCTTCTCCGACAGCACATACACTGCAAGCGGGCATTAAACCCCCCACACTACATTATCCACTATGGATCAGCAACAAGGCCAGCAGGGCCCCATGGGCCCCGCCGGTCGTCGTCTGCACATTGCGCATCGCCGCAGTCCGTCAGAACTGACGCCGCTGATGAGTACGTGGACATGGCTCACACTAAACGTGGGCATCTGCTAATAGCCCTACAGTGGAGCAGCTCGCCATTGCACAGCAGATCGAGGTCCTCCAGCAACAGCAGCAACAGATTGCCGCGACGCACCAGCAATATGTCAACATGGGCATGATCCAGCCGCAGCAGCAGCTCGGCAACTTCCAGATGCCAGGCCAGATGCCCAATGTCTCGCCCCAAGTCAACAACTACCAGTTCCCCCAGCAGATGCAACCAATGCAACAACAGCAGCATCTCGCTGTCCCCATGGGCGCACCGTCCCAGCCCAACCCCGCCCACCGCCGCAACCAGTCTGCTCTCCCCCAAGTCGGTATGGGCCCGCCGCCCGCTCCTTCCTCCGGTGCCTCTGGCTTCGGTGAATTTGGTGCACAACAGGGTGGTCAGGGTAGGGAAAATGTCAACCCTCGTGGCCGAGGTGGTGGCAGCGCCGGTGGCTCCGGACACACCCGCCGTCACTCGTTGGCTCTTGCCGACGCGAAGAAGGCAGCTGAACAAGCCGAATCTAAAAGAAAGACTTCAGGCTTTCAGTTCCCCATCCCCGGCTCGACCGAGGGCAGCTCCAACCGGGACGCTAGCCCCAGTGGAAACAGCGCTTCCAATGACGCCCCTTCTGCCCGTGGTGGACGAGGTGGTCACGGCCGTAGCCAGAGCATGGCTGTTGGACGTGGCGGTGGAAGTGCCGGCCGTGGTGGACCTTCCTTCTCCTTCCCCGCTACCAGCGAGAACCCGACCAACCAGAACAATGGTCAGCAGTCTGACTTCCAGCGCCGTGGCAGCCAGGGCCATGGCAGGAGCCAGTCTCGCAACTTCGAGGGCAACTGGAGACAGCCCCAGAATAACACCCAGCAACAGCCTACTCAGGACAACCAGTCCCAGAACATGGGCAACTTTAACATGAACCAGACCGCCAATGCCGCTCCTTTCCAGCCTGGTCACCGCACTCGTGGATCGGTCAACCAGTCCGTTGGCTCTCTCGGTAACTTCCAATACGGCGGCCAGCCTCAGATGCAGATCAACTCTCCTCAGGCACAGCTTCTTCTGCAACAGCAGATGTTCGGCCAACCGCTAAACCCCATGCAGATCGCTCATTTACAGGCACTCCAAGCTGCCCAGATGCAGGGTGGCGGTCTTGGAGGCAGCCAACATGCACCGCAGATGGGCATGCAGCAACAACAGCAACAGCAGCGCAAGACGCTATTCACTCCTTACCTCCCGCAGGCCACCTTGCCCGCTCTTCTTGGCGACGGCCAACTCGTTGCCGGAATCCTCCGCGTTAACAAGAAGAACCGCAGTGATGCGTATGTGACAACTACCGACCTGGATGCTGACATTTTCATCTGTGGTAGCAAAGACAGGAACCGAGCTCTCGAAGGAGATCTAGTCGCTGTCGAACTTCTGGATGTTGACGAAGTCTGGGGACAGAAGCGTGAAAAGGAAGAGAAGAAGAAGCGCAAGGACAATGCGGACCCCCGCGGCGGTAGTATTGCCGTTAACGATGCCACCACTCAACCTGAGACCGGCTCTGAGGGTGGCATCCGCCGACGTGGCAGTCTTCGTCAGCGGCCCACACAGAAGAAGAACGACGATGTTGAAGTTGAAGGCCAAAGCTTGCTCCTAATGGAAGAGGAGGAGATCAACGATGAGCTCAAGCCTCTATACGCTGGTCACATTGTTGCTGTCATTGAACGTGTTGCTGGACAGATGTTCTCAGGGTACGTAACTACATCATCACTTGAAGTGCTTTACTAATTGTTGCTACAGATCCCTTGGACTCCTGCGCCCTAGCAGCCAAGCCACCAAGGAGAAGCAGGAGGCTGAGCGTCAAGCTCGCGAGGGCAACTCTGGCCGCTCCCAGCCAGAGACTCAGAACAAGCCCAAGATTGTCTGGTTCAAGCCAACAGACAAGCGTGTGCCATTGATTGCTATTCCCACCGAGCAGGCTCCTCGCGACTTCGTCGAGAAGCACCAAGACTACGCCGACCGCATCTTCGTAGCATGCATCAAGCGATGGCCCATCACCTCTCTGCATCCTTTTGGTACTCTTGTCGAGCAACTCGGAGTCATGGGCGACCTTAAGGTGGAAACCGATGCACTTCTGCGCGATAACAACTTTGGTCCAGATGACTTCTCTGATGCCGTTATCAAGAACGTAGGCTTCGAGGATTGGTCTGTTGCCAACGACGGCGAAGAGGCGCTCGAGAGCCGTCGCGACTTCCGAAACGAGGAGACCTTCACCATCGACCCCAACGGCAGCAAGGAGCTTGATGATGCTATCCACTTCAAGTACCTTGACGACGGCCGTGTTGAGATTGGTATTCACGTTGCTGATGTTGCCCACTTTATCAAGGCCAACTCGCTTGTTGACCGTGAGGCCAAGAAGCGTGGAACTGCGGTCTACCTCATGAACCGCACAGTAAACATGCTTCCTCCCCGACTGTCGAACGACATTTGCTGCCTCAACCCTGGTGAGGACCGCTACACGGTTAGTGTTGTCTTCAAGGTTGATCCCAACTCTGGTAAAATCTCAGATGATGAGACCTGGGTCGGCAAGGCTGTGATCAAGAGCTCTGGAAAGCTGTCGTACGACGAGGTCGACACCGTTATCAACGGTAACGACGGTGCGGTCTCGGCAGCCCGTGCTAAGGACATCAAGATGCTGCATCACATCTCTCAAAAGTTCCGCCAGGCTCGCTTTGGCGACCGCTCTAGCGACGTAAAGGCTCTGCGTCTCATGTACCAGCTGGACGACGAGAACGTTCCTGTCGAGCAGAACATCTTCGACTCTTCCCCTGCCCACGAGTGCATTGAGGAGCTCAGTCACCTCGCCAATGCCTTTGTTGCGAAGAAGCTTGCCACTGGCCTGCCCGAGAAGGCTCTTCTGCGCCGTCAACCATCGCCTAACCCCCGCCGCTTGACTACAATCGCAGAACGCATGGGTGCCATCGGCTACGACATCAACACTGAGAGCAGTGGCACTCTGCAGAACAGCTTGTTCGAGGTTGAGGATGATGACATCCGGAAGGGTATGGAGACACTTGTCATCAAGTCAATGCCTCGTGCCAAGTACTTCGTTGCTGGCAGGCTGCCTGAGGACCAATACCCTCACTACGCTCTGAACCTTCCCCTCTACACCCACTTCACCAACCCATCTCGCCGCTATGCCGACATCATCGTGCACCGACAGTTGGAGGCTGTCCTATCCAATGGTGCCATTGAGTTCACTGAAGACATTGAGGCTCTTGCCAAGACTGCAGAGATGTGCAACACCAAGAAAGACTCTGCTCATGCTGCCCAGGAGCAGAGCGTTCATATCGAGGCTTGCCGCAAGATGGACAAGGTCAGGCAGGAGAGGGGCGGTGATCTCATCGCCGAAGGTATCGTCCTTTGCGTGTACGAGTCCGCATTCGATGTTCTCATCCCCGAGTGGGGCTTCGAGAAGCGCGTCCACTGCGATCAGCTTCCCCTCAAGAAGGCTGAGTTCGACAAGAACAAGCGTCTCCTTGAGCTCTACTGGGAGAAGGGTGTTCCATCGTCCAACTACATCCCCGAAGACGAGAGGCCAAAGCATGGCTCGCTCAGGTCTGCCAATGCGGCGGCTGCAGCGCGTGATGCCGAGGCTGCTAAGCAGCGTGCGAGGGAGCAGGAAGAGGCCCAGCGCAGGCAGATTGACACTGGAGCCATGTCGACCAACGAGGAGGCTGCGTTGTTCGACGATGATGACGACGACTCCGATTCCAACGACCTGAACTCGAACATGGCCGGTGTTTCCCTCAACTCCGACCGTCCGACTCAGAGCATGCCTCCATCGCCCACCCGCCGTGATCTTGCCGGCGCTCCTCACCGTGTCAACTCAGACTCGAAGATTGCTCAGAGTGCTGGTGATGCTGCGGAGACCAAGTTGACCAACAAGGAGAAGTACCTTAGCTGGTTCACCCTGCGCGAGCAGAATGGCGACTACATCCAGGATGTGCGGGAGATGACGCGTGTTCCAGTTATCCTTAAGACGGATCTGACCAAGAGCCCTCCGTAAGTTAAAGTTGTTCACTTGATTCTGAACTCTACTAACCTATCTTGCAGTTGCTTGACTATCCGATCCCTCAACCCCTACGCTTTGTAAAAGAATCGTCTCGCTTGGTCCGAATTGGCATCTAGCATTTCGGTAGCTTCTGTCGATTTGGTATAGAAAATTGAATGGAGGATACATACTAGGTTGTGCAGGAAGAGACGATTGGTGATCTGTGTATTGTTCATGTGCATGCGGCGAATGTATCGACAGTCGCGATATATGGTTGCAGCTCTTATACACAGTAATTTTCCGTAGTACAGTAATGTGTTGACCCCCCACAAGAGCGCCTCACGCCAGGCGAAGTCCATTATGATTGCTTTTGACACCCGTCCGCATTGACACCTACTCCGCAATTCTCGTTCAAGCCTGGGTAAGGCGGCTCGAAAGCCACACAAGGCGAACAGATGAGCCGCGTCAGGCATCACTGACATCTTGATTACTACATCAGAAACTCATCCATTGACGAGGATTGGCTGTTTACGATGGAAACATGCTCCTTGATGACCTCCTCCCGGCCCTTGTTTGCACGCATGGTCGGCCGTGACAAGCTGCCGCCATACGGCATTGGGCTGATGCCGCAGGCTGGTACAATCCGAATCTTCACCAGCGGATCTGCGACTTCCCACCCCTTGCAGGAGGCGGTCTGTGTACCTGCATGTGTTTATCGTAGCGAACGGGAGCCTTGAGGCCTGAACCGTTGCCGAAATAGCAGTGGTTCTCCATGAGGCTTGGCAACGTGAAGATGTTTTGGGTGCCTCAGCCACCTCTTGGTCCATCCCTCTTAACCTCTCGACCCATCTATAGTTCTCTCGGCACAGAGCGTAAGCGCTCCCACGACGTTCTTATGGGAGACTTTATATCTATGACTATGCTACAGCATACTGTCTAAAACTTGGTGTTGAAACGTTTCGCAAGGTCGTCACTGCTGGAAACACACCCCACCAGCGACATGAGGGAGACGACTGCTTCAAGCCTCAAGTGGTGAGCCACTTCACTGTTCCGGACGGAAAGTCTGAATACCGCCATTAATCGCCATGCACTATCGCTGTACCCGGGTTGTCTCTAGGGCGGCTCTGCTGTCTCCGCGCACGCGTTGGCACTTGTAGAGTTTCATGACTCCCGTTTCGCGTCGCAGGGCCCCGGACCTGCTACATCACACGCCTGCACCACGAGCCCCATCGCTACATGCCGGACGCGCTCAGCGGTTGCAACACTACTAGCGAGCAGTTCCTGGACGATCAATGGGTCGATTTGCCAAGCTTTGAAGCTTGTAGGGTCACGGATCCAGTATGGAAGCCAGTGCGTCGGCGGGATCCAGTTGTCCGCCACATGCTCAACATCCGTCCTCCGAATTTTACTATGGCGTCTCAGATACCTCCTAGGAGTCGTGGCTGCTTGTATAAGGTCCATTGGCCGCCCACCTTGTTTCCATACTCGTTTTCAGCTGGATCATCGGCGAGCCTCTTCTACCTTCCTACCTAATAATCAACCACATTCCTTACGGTTTACCTTCTCAGTCCCTGGTTGGACTTTAGACAATTTTTAATAATCGAATTCAAAGCGAGTCTTTGCTGGAGGTCCTTCTTTACGAACTTGTCTACTCGAAAAAAACAATTCAACAAACCTAATCAACTCAACATGCCTAGCGTATCAACCATCCTCAAGGGCCTAGTTGCCCTGGCGCCTCTTGTGGCTGCCGCTCCCGCAAACTATGCCCGTCAAGAGTCGGCTTCCAAGTCGAGCTCAATGGTCATGTCGTCCGCTACTCCCGCGGCGGCAGCCATTACGGAAACCGCAGGAGAGGCCGCCTCTCCTGCTGCTGCTGCACCGGCGGCAGCAGCAACATTGAGCGATGTTGACATCCTCAACTTGTTAGTAGTACCAATTCCCTCAACATAGTAATCAGGATCTGACAATGGCAACAGTGCTTTGACCGCCGAGCATCTCGAATCTGAATACTACAAGCAGGGTTTCGCCAAGTTTTCCATGTCAGACTTCATGGCTCTCGGCCTCAGTGAAGGCCAGGTCAAGTCTCTGATGGGTGTTGGACAAACTGAGGCTACTCACGTCACTACTCTGCAGTCCGCCATCGCAGGAGCAGGTGCAAAGCCCGTCGAGCCTTGCCAATACAACTTCGACGCCGCCCTTGCCAGCGCTGACTCCATGGTCAAGACCGCCCGTGTTCTTGAGGCTGTCGGTGTCTCTGCCTACCTTGGTGCCGCTCCCCTTGTCAACTCTTCTGACATCCTCTCGGCTGCCGGTTCCATCGTCACTGTCGAGGCCCGTCACCAGGCATTCATCCGTATCGCATCTGGCGCCGAGCCAGTCCCTGCCGCTTTCGACACTGCTCTCCAGCCCCGCGCTGTCTTCACCCTGGCCGCTCAATTCATCAAGTCTTGCCCCGAAGGATCCAACCTCAACATCCAAGCCTTCCCTGCCATCGCTCTCCAGAACCCCGAAAAGGCTACCGTTGGTCAGAACCTGAAGCTTGCCGACCCCGCTCAGCCAGCCGGTGCCTCTTTCTGCGCTTTCGTCGGACCGTAAGTCATACCATATCCCCCTTATGAGATCTACCTTCTAACGTATTACAGTGGCGGCAACCAGTTCACCAAGATTGCTGACGGCAACTGCATGGTTCCCCAGGGCCTCCAGGGTGAAGTCTACATGATGATCACCAAGAGCGAGTCCGTTGCCGACGCCGAGGTCCTTGCCGGTCCCTCCGTTATCCAGCCCTCGTAGATGCCTTCACCAGCATGACGATTTCACATTGTCTTCCATTTTAATTTTTCACCAAAGACAAGGGCTGAACGACCAGGGCGAGCGAGCAGAGCGTCACAGGAGCAAAATGCGCGACTGTAGAAAGCGAGTATGTGTATATGGACGATTTACCTTTCCCCACAGTCGTTGAAATACAAGCGTTGATCTCAAGAACGGTTTTTTTCCTTTCGTGTTTCTTTTTTCCTTTCAGACGGCTTGTTGTGTAGAACGTTGGGAGAGAGATACCCCAAGCATGGTACGAGCGGTACGAGCATGGAGGAGACGGGTGAGCGTGGTTCCGCGAATCAGCTCAGGTAATAATAGCAGGTATAGCATGAACATGAAAACGATTAACGATTTTCAAAGCGTTGACTAAACATTGGCTTTGTGATACAAGTGACATGCAGCTTGCGACGTAGAGTGACTTGACTAGAGTGACTTGTGACTGCGTTGGGGGCTCCAACGAGATGGGTTTCATCTTCGCATTTTTTCGACACTTTAGGTTTGGTGCGAGATCAGTCGGATGGTGGCGCTCCGTGTGTAAAGGGTGCCACACTATGAGTAACTTCGAACACGTACGTTGAGCGCAGACTTGCGACGTAACGAAACTTATTCAGGTCTTCCATCATTAGCCTTTCGAGAATCACAAGTATGGTATCTACAGCGTATACAGCATCTCGCTAGCGGCGGTTTACTGGCGGAAAAGTCACATTGCCGAAGATTTCCCGGTCGCTTCCTTTTGCGAACTGCAAGCTCAGGGTTGCTTTGTGCTGATTGGCTGCGTACATAATATGGAGACCCTTCGCTTCCCCGCCTTGAGCATGCTTCTTCTGGTGCTAACAGAACGTCGGTGTAGGCTAGGAAATGTCTGGATGCAGTGTTCTCGCAGTGCTCCGCTCCTTTGAGTAAACCTTGCGAGGCAATGAGCCTAAGCTCGAGCACTGGAGAATTCAAGGGACCTGTAGGGATGGTTTTTATTGCGCATCACGCGGCTGTTGGCTGAAGGGTTGTTGAGCGTGCAGGAGTAAAACGTCATAGCCTCTGTGTGAACGGTTCACCTTCGTATTACGCCAATCGCGTCAAAACTTTCATACTGTCCACTAGCGTTGGACTTACTTATCATAGACCTCTCCTCCCTCCCAGCTCGGTCTTCAGGCTTCCTTCGTCAACCACTCGCACCTCAAAAGTCCTAAGCGGCAACCAGGCTGTCAACCCTTCCCGCCGTCCCAAGAACCCAACAATGGCGTTCCAGAACGGCACCTCATCGACCTGTCTCGAGCAGCCCATTGAACTCCAAGACGTTTCAAATTACATCTCTAAACCTCAAAATGCCCAAATCGCCACTTCGAGTAACACGGGCGGCTTGCGACTTTCAGATACCAAAGGCGCCCAAGAAAGCGACCCGATAGAAAATTTACCGTCCCCAACGACCCAATCAGCAGCCAAGTTGGAGCAATGGAACCACCCTCGATCGAATTTCTTCAAGACCTCGGCGGCGTTCTGGAGTTTCGTCGTTATGGGGAGCAATGATGCAGCGTATGGAGCTTTGATACCTTATGTAAGTTTGTCGTACTTTTGAGAAGAGGGCGTGGAGAGTACATGCTGACAACGACTCAAGTTGCAAGAGTACTATAGCCTCACTTTCGTCGTCATATCGCTAGTGTTTTTATCTCCACTTGTCGGCTACACGGCTTCCGCATTGTTGAACAACACCATTCATCTCAAGTTTGGCCAGAGAGGTGTTGCGGTCATAGCACCGACGTGTCATCTAATCGCGTATGTGGTTATTGCGGTGCATCCTCCATACCCGGTGCTCGTCGTCATTTTCATGCTGGCTGGCTTTGGTAATGGTCTTGCTGATGCTGCATGGAGTGAGTATCTGTCTCATTTCCTGTCTCCACAGGTTGTAAGAGGAAAATGGCTGACCGACTTTAAATAGATGCCTGGATGGGTAACATGGCGAACCCGAACGAAGTGCTGGGTTTCCTACACGCCTTTTACGGTGTAGGTGCAGTGCTTTCTCCCTTGATAGCAACAACCATGATCACAAAAGGGAGCAGACTGCCCTGGTACACGTTCTACTATGTCATGATTGCCATGGCAGTCATCGAATTAGCGACCTCGACAGCAGCTTTCTGGCACGAGACCGGTGACAAATTCCGTGCAGCCAACCCAAGAACCAGTGGTACGAAAGACAATCGGATGAAGGAGGCACTCCTCCGTCTCCCGCATGCACGCGTCACATGGCTCTGTGCACTCTTCTTACTCGGATACGTGGGTATTGAAGTTGCGCTTGGTGGCTGGATAGTCAAATTCATGCTCGAAGTGCGTGATGGTGAGGACTTTGCGAGTGGAATGGTAGCGACAGGGTTCTGGATGGGGATTACTGTAGGAAGGGTTGTGCTGGGCTTTGTGACGCCAAAGATAGGGGAAAAGTTGGCTATTACCGTAAGTTCCTTCTTCACACCTATGTTGTTTCTTCCTCATATTAATCCAAAGCACCAGATCTACCTACCCATCACAATGGCTCTCGAACTTATCTTCTGGCTCGTCCCTCAATTCTACGTCTCGGCCGTTGCAGTAAGCTTCCAGGGGTTCTTCCTTGGTCCATTGTTCCCTGCTGTCGTTGTCGCCGCTACGAAGCTTCTACCACGCCATCTACATGTGGGTGCGATTGGTTTTGCGGCAGCTTTTGGTGGGAGTGGAGCTGCCATCTTCCCCTTTGCGGTTGGAGCTATCGCGCAGGCACATGGTGTACAGGTTCTGCAGCCGATTATTCTGGCGCTATTGGGCGTAATTTTGGTGTTGTGGCTCGGGTTGCCAAGGATACATAAGAAGGAGGAGTAAGATGTTGGAAGAACGTCAGATTGACGTCGAAGATATCGAGCAAGCGACAGATACTGTAGATGGGAGGAAATCATGTGTATGCTACGTGAATGCGTTGACTCTAGATACACATGATTTCATACTTCAGTATGTACGCAATCGTGAGGCAAAAACTTATATGCCCAAAAGCCCTGTTTCGCAGATCACACCTGCTATGAACAAACTATTACCATACCCAACCTTTCCATTCCCCTGCATCTGATCATGACTACCACTCCGCACTCTTCCTAGCCATTATCTTGTCATCTCCGCTCATCCTCTTATCGACCATCGCACCGACTTTCGTTCCATCTAACAGATTGATATCGTTAGTACATGACATTTCAGCCTCTGTTCACCATGATACACCAAGACTCACAAGCCAAACTATCCGCTCTATGCATGACTCTCTCCCATAAATCTTCTATTGCATCAATCAAGGTATCGGTTCTGCTGCTCTTCTCTACAAGCGTCCAATCACTGTCCCATAGATTTGGCCTGATAGCAAAAAGTTTCGCCATCTACAAAGAAGTTGCAGCCACCGAGGCAATGGCCGATGTATTCTCCGTACTCAATCTTTTCGCAGTGAAGACGACTTTGTAAGACGAGCTCTTGTCGGAATTCGTAGTGGCGATGAAAGGCGCAGCTTCTGTCCATCGATGCCATGTTAGCCATCCGCTCATCTGCTTCCCATTGACACTATCCTATATTCTTCATCTGATCTGAACTCCGATATATAGATGATATCACATACCAACGATCCAGTTTTTCAATACTTTTACAAACTGCAGCTGTCCCAATTTGTCCAGTCCAGTTGCTGTTGAGCTGTTAAAGGTATGACCGTGTTTTTTCATAATGTTGACCGTCGGTAGTAGAGCCTGTGTCTTAGGGAACAGGCGCATGGAAGGTTTCTTGATGGCATATCTCGGTTGGGTTGACGGCTTGTCACGAGCATTATTTCTAGCGGATGTAGAGGTTTCAGATAATGAGGAGGACATGGAAGTAGTCTTCTACATTCTCAAAGGAAACTACATACTGTGTGTCAGGAATCAATGGTCGTGCCCTCCTCCACGAACCTATCGTCTGCTTAAACGTCATACATGTAGACATTCAAAAAAGCTTCCTTGCTCCCTTAATCCACCCATTGATTCTTTTTAATATGATGCTACTTCTGCCTTATCCTTCTCTCCTTCAACCGTGCCCTCCCTCTCCTTAAAGGTCTTGGAAAGACTCTTGGCCTTTTCTTGCGCAATCTGCATTCCCGCGCCTGCCGCTGCTTTGAGTCCTTCTGCCATAGCAATCGCAACCTGCTTCATCATTAACATGGTGTCGCCAGCAGCAAATATGCCCGTGACGCTTGTCTCGTTGAACATTGCGTTTGCAATCTTGATATGTCCACCCATCGCTGGTTCCACAGTGTCGACACCAAGTTGCTCGATGAGGTGTTGCGCACGATTGACTGTAGCAGGTTTGTGAACGATAAAACCAAGGGTGACTGGTTCGCCGGTTTCGAAGTGAATTGTTACGCCATCTGTGTGGCTCGGGCCGTTGTTTACCAGGCGCACGATTTTCCGCTCGTCGAGTGTTGCGCCGAAGGCCTTTGCGAGTTTCATAGCCTCTTGTACTGGTTCTTCCTGCTTGATGGGCCCGTTGCTGAATATGGTGATGGAAGTGGGTTCGAGTGGGATGGCCATTTGTACAAAGTGAGTGTACATTGGGCTGTCGAAACCTAGGATGCCGACTGCACTTCCGCGTTGCTCGTAGCCATCGCAAGCTAAGCATTGGTATATATGCGCTGGCCAGTTTTCCTTATAGCCTTGGATTTCGGGGAAAACATCTCTTGAACCGGTAGCTAGGATGATCTTCTTTCCCTCATACGAGTGACCGTCGCTATCTGTGACTTCGAAGCCATCATACAAGCCCTTCTCATCAGGTACAGACACCTGTTTCTTTTTCGCATGGGTGATTGTCGCAGCTTGAAACCAAATGGTATCGTAACGGGATTCGACTTGTTCGCGAGCGATGCGACCGAACTCTCGGGGGTTGAAGTGATCGCGAGACGCTACCGTATGCATATGTGTAACGCCCTCATTACGGTACTGCTGGTTGTCGAAAACAATAGCTGTACTACGCGTTCTTGCACAGGTGAGCGCGGCGTTCAGCCCTGCTGGGCCTGAGCCGATAATGAGTATGTCGAAGATCTGGGGTCGAACTCGGAGCACCATCTTGTTATGTCTACCTTATATAGCGTCTTTGATGTATCTTTCGAGAAGCGGGTAGGTCTTGCGCGAGACAAAGTGATCTGAGAGTTCGAGAGTGTGTGGAAATTTATGTTTCGTTCGTCGCTTGTCCAGCCGGCCTAATATAGGTACTATAAGCACTTAAAGTCGCCGGCTCCGTACTGTCAGCGCAGTGTTGGAATGTCTCCGAGAAAGTTTCCACACTCGACTTTGGATACTCGGTGAAGTCTCCAATATTCTACAGTATGCATTTGGTGCTCGGTAAAAATCACGTTAAATGCGCTGTATCTGAGAGAAATACTGCGTAGTGACACAAGCGGTAATGCTCAAGCAATCCTCAGGACCTTTGCGAGGTCGCGCTCATAGTGCTGTCTGTTGTAACGAACAGCGCTTTCCGGGACATCAGTAACATGAAGAGGATTTTCTATAACGGAAAGTTAGGATACAGTCAGGTTATATGAGTTTTTAGCATGATAGTGAAAGAATAAGGAAACCAAATCACCCTAAATGTATCTGCCGCTGAACCTCGCTAGCATGAATCCCGCACCTATTCGCACTTTTGAACATCTGTTCTGGTAGCTCAACCGCACCCGGTTTGACAAACTTCAGATCCAAGCTAAAGTAGGTTGTGATTTACTACAATAGAGGACTCAGTAAGGTCTCAGCAGAGTGCTCAGCAAACCTGGGTATCCGGCAGAGCTATCTATTAAATCGTGCAGCTATAAGCCCTGTCACTTTAGAGTTCTTATGTTGTCAGAGTAGCTCATCTTATGCGCGGTCACTCTATGTAGTCACACCAGCAGAACGAGCGACGGCATAGTCAATAACACACTTTTCGGTATCAGAGATCGACTTGCTACGAGAACAAGCGCTGCAGAATACGTGTGTACTGTGCTTGTTCGAGCTTAAACGCGCTCCAAATGATCTGAGAGTGGAGGAAAAAGCGTTTCGTTACACCGGCACGCTTAGACGGATTCTATTGATGTTAGCCAGGCACCAGTCTTGGTATTGAGCTCCACTACTTATACTGAACTCGTAAGTACTGAGTAGGGTCTGACTTTTGACCTCGTATCAACTGGGAAATATTTTCGTATATTCGGCCCGTGTGATGCTGCTGCCTCCCTTAGCTCGATGCTTCGTAACTTATATGCTTGGTGAATGCCCCTGACCTGAACATGGTCTTTCTAAACACCTAGGTAATATAACTTCAAAATCGCTTCTTCTCGAGGTCCTCCAAAATATCTGCAATCCAGCCAGATCGCCGCTATCATTGGACTTTACACAAGCAATGTAAGCAGCGACCATCAACAATTATTGCGATATCAACAATGCTGACTCTGGACCTAGGGACACCCTATCTGCAGAGAAGACTGAGTTCACAGGCGCATACACGGTAGCCCGGGCTGGGCTTCTCAAGGCGAAGCTACAGGCACTGAGTAACGTGTTGACTCGAACTACGTTTCATCGTCACAAACAGCTACAGTTCGATGTCATCCTCCAGGGAACATCGTCTTGCACGCATATCCAAGGCTCGGAGGAAGTCTACTTCTGTACCAAGGGACTGAAACGACCGGACGAAATTCCTGACCTTTATGTCAGGGCTTACACTGAAGTATTAGGTTCACGACACTTCACCAATGTTCGCCTCGTCAGATCTTCAGATAGCTCTAAAAGAACCGCTGCAAGATTCGGTCCAACTTTCTCCGACGTAAAGACTTTACTATTGGCGTTGGACGCCATTTGCGACACCTCACTTGAAGAGATCTTCTCGAGCGCAGAGCAGACACGTAGGTACCACGTTATTCAGAGTCGTGAATGAGTCTAACTATGCTCGAGTCAAACCTCTCCCGTTTCTCCGGCTTCCCTATGAGCTTCGTCTCCAAGTATACGATTGTCTCATACCGCATCTTGCCTACATCCCTATGTTCTCTCGAAAATATACAAGAACGGATAGGTCGTTACCAGAGAATTTGGCGATAATGCGTACGAATAAACAGTTACATGACGAGGTCGACAAGCATTGCTTCGATCGGCACGTACTCCTACTCAAAGCCAGCAGGGTTACAGGGCTAGCATTGACCCAAAATCACTTCGCATGCGATACCTCAAAAGATTACGCAGACCGATACACGAGCATCGGAAGATCGAAGATCAGACATCGAATAACCCAGCTCGAAATTCAGATTTTGCCAACTGAAGAGTCTCTTAAGGACTCAATTCGCGGGTCCTGGTCAATGGCAGACAAAGTTTCCCTTACGACAGATCTGCTCTGTCCTGCCGAATCTCAAGTCTATCCTCTTCTCGTATCCCAAACCGGATCCAAGAAGCATAGCTCTAATCGATGAGCTGTGGAAATCAGTCAAACCACACATGAAGGGTTCCCCATGTAATCGCAACCGGAAGGTCACGCTTGAGTGGATTTCCAATCAGCTTTGGCTAACTGCAGGAGTGCCACCTCGCATTCTGTGGGATTTGACCTATTTTCGCGAGTCGGTGGAGAATGTGAAGAAGTTGAGGAGAGACATATTTTCCGAACGAATGATGAAAGAATTGATCAAGTAGGATGGGGGTCTTGAACAAGCACGAAGCGTAGCTTCCACAAAGGAAGACTCGCAAAGATGGACTGAGGTCAGAGCGGCGGTCCTCGAGGCCTTGAAGAGAGAATGAGACTCTCCCTTAATAGGCAAGCGACTTCGCTTAGAGAATGAAAGCTGTGTATCTAGTCCGTTAGAATTTAGCATG